TTGGTGTATAGACTTTATCTACTCTATCATTTCATCCTTTTTTTCTATTGTTTCCCTCATATCCTGTATGACTCCAAACAGCGTTCTGAAAATTTCTGTGGCAGCTCAATGTGTGCTTCGTCTATGCATGTTGTTATGTTTGGGACATCTTCTGCCATTGCCTTTTGTTTCTCCTGTTATTTCATTGAGGTTGTTGGGGCTTGTGGCTGTTTGCCTTGCGTTGTTTTAGAGGAGACAGGTTCCATTCTCCAGGGAGTCGAAGAGCACTGACTCTCTCTGGGAGACTTGTAGGAATGCTTCTTTGAACTGATTACAGTTAATTTCACTATGGAATTAACCTACCACTTTATCCTCCTGTGGCTTCACTCTCAAAGGGAGTGCCCCAGAAGGCTGGTGGGTTGCCTGATTTGGTGTAGAACACCACAAATGGTGGGCAGAATTGCCCTGGCCAGGTAGATCACTGCAGAGGTTGGACTGAGGTTCCTGCAGCAGCTTGAAATGTTGGCGAGTGTTGCCCGAGCTGCCATAGGCTGTGTGAGGCACTAAGGGAGGCAGGAGGAAGTTCCCTGAGTCACATGGGACAACAGAAGAAAAATAGGAACTCCCCCAGCCACACAGGCAGGAATTCCCCCGTAAGAAGTTAGGCGGAGTATCCCTTGGTGGAGGTCTACCAGTCTTTCCCCAACCTCAGGCTTTGCTGCACAGAGAGGAGCTCACCTAACTGGGTGGGGTGCAGGTGTAAATGTCCTAGGCTAAGGGGAGTGGTCTGGGGGTCGGCAGTGGTGTGAGAGAGAACAGGGAAGAGACAAAGAGGAGAACAACATAAAAAAAAACCAAGCCTGTTGAGACTGTGGGGGAATAGAGAGAAGAGGGGGAAACAAAAGTAACAATATAGCTGAGCCCTGAGCCTTGCCCATGGGACTGCAAGTGTTTAATCCCTGCCCCGAGGTGATGCCAAACCGTGGCTGTGTTGAGATTAAGCTCTGTCCGAGACAGTGGCGGGACTAGGTGAAACCCTAGCCGGCATCCACTGAGGTAAGCCCAAAGCCCCCTCAAAACCTTGTGCCTACTTATCTTTATGATGCTTCTCCTGCGATCCAGCAGTATTGAATTTCCCTCTTAGTAACTCTCCTGGGCTGATTTCTGTGGAGTCCCTCTGGTCTGTGTTACTCCGTCACCATCCACTTGTAATTTCTCAACAATAGATCTTCAATGAACATTTCTGAATTTTCCTTCTCACATCTTCCCTTTTAGGCATGTTTTTATAGTTTCAATCATAGAGCACAGTCCACTCTAGTTTCTACTTTTATTTCAACATTCTACTGTTGCTAGAGTCTCTTTATGATAGTTTAGTAACATTCCCTTGAGGAATTGTATCACAATTTACCTAACCATTTTCTTACTGCCTTATTGTTGAATCTTTAGTTACTTTTTTTTTTTTTTTAATTTGGGGATAGTCACTGGTGCATAGATTTTTCATTTATTCAAATGCTCTAATGTGGAGTTCTAGACATAGGAGTCTAAATCAAAGTGTTTGTATTCTTTTATGACTTGATAAAGAGGGCCCAATGGCTATGTAAACAGATTTATTAATTTATAATGTTACCAGGCAGTATGACAGCCAATTTCACAGAACTCTTAGAAAGAATGTACGACAGGCTAGGGTATATGGTTTTTGGCTGCCATCTGGCTATTTCGCCAGGATATGAGTTTTATCAATCGTGTCCTGCTTTACCAATGTTAAAATCTGGTCACTTTAGTCTAGCCAGAACTAAAAGGCACGGCTTGGGTCATAATAATGTGGGGTAAGGAAGCTTCAAAGAACCAGAGGGATATTGTATGTTTCATCGGTGCTATACTGTGTCATGGTTAACTCATCCCTTCCTTGTGACCCTTCTGTGAGGAGATGTCCTATTGTTTACAGATGGGTTTTGGGTCTCTGTATCGACCCCCTTTGTTCTCAACAATATGTTTTTTTGTTTTGTTTTGAATCTTCTGGTGCCTGTTGCCTGATTCCTTCAAAACCTCATGATCTCACAGGCTGGTGTGCTTCTTCCATGTGGGCTTGTTGCTTTCTCTGCTAGATGGCTACTTGTTTAACTTTAAGCCTTTAAGACCCAGATGCTGTATCTTTGGTAGCCAGGCACCATCAGTTTTCTTTACCACATTTGCTTATGCACCATTTTGTCTTCAGCAATTGTGGGGAGGGTGAGCATCACAGAATGCCCGGTTGTTAAAGCAAAGTATTCTTGTGTTGAGGGATCTCAAGCAGAGGCCCAAAGTCCATCCACTTCCTTAGTGTATTGCCATATAAATGTGTACATATGCCACTACCTCTACTTTTTACGAATTAATATATTTACATAAGTACACACCTACATTTATTCCTCTATCCATAGCTTTACTTCCTAGATCTCTGCTTCCTTTTACCTTTCCTGCCCCACCACCATGCTTATCCTTCTTCTGCCTCTTAGTAATTCCATTCACTTAGATTGCTGTTGCTCTAACATCACCGGGATCTCTACATCCTCCTCATTGTTGTTTTTATTTTATTTTATTTTAAAAAATCATTTTTGGGGGCTCGTACAACTCTTTATCACAATCCATACATACATCCACTGTGTCAAACACATTTGTATATTTGTTGCCATCCTCATTTTCAAAACATTTCCTTACTACTTGAGCCCTTTGTTGTTGCTTTTAATTCCCTAGTTGTTCCCCTATCTATAGTGTTGTTTGCTCCCCGCTCCTTTCCCCTGCCTCATCCTCCTCCCAGGTCCCTCCCAAACCTTCGGCCCATTGCTTTCTCCTCAGGCTTGAAAACAAGAATAACAAAGACAAAACAAAAGAAATCAAAAGATTTAATAAAAAAAGAAAAAACTAGCAAAAAAAAAGAAAGAAAAAGCATATATAATTCAGGTCTGTCTGCTGACCTTTATGACTGTTTCCCCACCAGTCATGGGAGGTTGTGGGCACTGTCCCTCCTACCTTGAAGGCTATTTTGGGGTTCCTTAGGGGTTTCTTGAGTTTGCTTCCTTTGCTGGTCTGTTGTGTTCCCTTCTTGGTTCGCTCTCAGGTTTCTGATGGTAGCTTGACTCTCTGACATTCCTTCTTCCAGGCAGATATGTTGGGAACCAAAGGAGTAGATGGTAGGCTTAAAAAGCCTACCATTTAAGCCACTTGTACTATGATAAAGACCCAGTACTTCACCTATCCCAGCTGGAATTTTCAAAGGAAAATAGCTTATCCTCTCTAAAAACTGTAAGGATAGATCCTAATTTCTCACCAGCTCTGGTCTATGGTATTGTACAACTTCAAAGCCACCATTCTTTTAGAAACCAGAATAATGTGAATAGCGGTCCCTGCATGCTTTGCAATATGCTAGTTCTGCCTATGATGTCTTCTTCAGATACACTAAGGCTATTCTCCTTTATAAAAACTCTCCTTGGAAAGAAAGTGGTGTTAACTAACACAGGGACAAGGGGACAACAAGTGATCCAAATCAGTGGTGAGGAGGGTGTAGGAGGCCTGGTAGGGCGTGATCAAGGGTAATGTAACCGAGAGGAATTACTGAAACCCAAATGAACATGATTGCGGGACAAGAGGAAAGTAGAAGGAAATAGAGGAAAGAACTAGGAGGCAAAGGGCATTTATAGAGATCTACATAAAGGCATGGACATATGCAAATATATTTATATATGAGGATGGGGGAATAGATTTCTGTGTATATATTTATAGGTTTACTATTAAGATAGCAGATGGACATTGGGCCTCCACTCAAGTACTCCCTCAATGCAAGAATACTTT